TTTTGTCTTCTAAATGTTTGAATGAATATTTTCGTGACATCTTTGAAATCTTCTTTCCATTAGACAGTAGTTAGCAACTAGTGTAATGTGTCTTCTACATAACTGAGTATGACAAGTACTTATGGGTATGTGTGTGTGTGTGTCTGTGTGTGTTTGATCATAATGTCAGAAATGTGTTGTACAAAAATACACACTACATGACACGTTCCAGATCAAAGTTAGTCTTTTAAAATGTTGTTTTTTAATTAATTTATGCAGACAATGATCCGAAGTAATGTTTTCGTCGTTTGTTGATATAATTAATTATTTCCATTCAAGCCTTCTGGGTTTTTTTGTTTTTCAATTCTTTGATGAAATCATTCATTATTCGTGGAAAAGACTTATTAGAACATTAGAAAGAAGAGATCACGACCTTCAGCAACACAGATATATGCGATCTTCGGCAATTTTTATTTCCAAAAATGCAGCTGTATAGTCGCAAGTTCGACACAGATTAAGCTACTAAAGAATGACAATGGAAAGTCAATCATTAAAGAGGTGGAACAAAGGAAATACTGGGCTGAACACTTCAAAAGACTTCTAAATCGACCGCCACCTACAACGCGCCCAACAGTACCAACAACGGAAGCAGAACTACAAGTGAACATCGACCCTCCGACGAAATCAGAGGTCCTGAATGCAATCAAGATACTAAAAGTCAGTCAGTGCTACTATACGGATCAGAGACTTGGCCAGCGCGTCATCAAGAGCATCTCCAACAAACTTCACACCTTCATTAACAGCTAGCTGTCTTCGCTCAATACCGCTCAAGATCAGGTGGCCGGCCGGCCGGCTGGCTGGCCAGAAAATATCAGCAACAGGGAGGGATCTCTGGCAATGAGCGAACCAACCAACCCAGCAGGAACCGATTGTGAAACAAATAGGCAGGAAGAAATGGAGTTGGATTGGATTGGATTGGCCATACTCTGAGAAATCTAACCATCAAGTGACTGGCATCACTAGACAAGCCATCGCTCGAGTGGAACCCGGCCGAAAGGGAAGCGAGTGGCGAGTTGGTCGTCAGTGCAAGGGTGGGTGACTTGGAGGAGGTCATGTGAACGGGAGGAGATGAAAGCATGTGGACAGACTTGGAGAGGGGGGTGAAAAAGTTGTCAGAAAAGCGTAGGGAATGGAGGTGGGCAGCTGAAGCCCTATGTTCCTCCAGGAATTAAAGGATATAATAATAATAATGATACAATCGCATTTTAAATACATATATTTACATAGATACAAGTTTTATTTGATTGCATATAAAATTACAAAGGCGAACGAAAAAGTGACAACTACTTTCCAACTGGATGTGAATTACGACGAGAGGCTTAGAATCACAAAGACTACACAGGATTGGATTATAACTGTAACATAGTTATGATATTAAACGAATTACAAATGTGAGTAGGAGAAGCAGAGAAAAGGACGAATTGAATGAAGACAAAGAGAGAGAGAAGCATCATACACAAGGAACAGAACAAAAGCAACCGTAGTCTACGGAAGCCTACCAAATTAGATCCATGGTAGTCAGTCGTAAAGGCTGGACTAGTTTCTTTTAATCATACAGCTTCAGCTTTTCAATGCATATATGATAAGGGATTCTGAAGTGCAAAGAAGTCGGCAATGCACTGCATTTGATAGACAGATTTTTCTTTTTTTTTACTTTGTTAATGACTTTGAGTGACGAGGTAATTGAGATGCTGTGGGAGTTGTTTTATCAGAAGTTCGATTATAGCACTTTTCTCATTGAACCAGTGCCTCCTCTTTGCAGTCATGCTGAGAAGTTTTTTTCTAATACATTTTGAAAGGAAGTGCATAAAACAGCCTTTGTATCTAGCTCCACACGAGCAAGTGTACTGGTATCTGCACATTGAATTCGTCATATTTGGGAGTTTGTCCTTAGCGTTGTTTCAAAGTTTCGAGTGGTTAGAAAAATGTCACTCATAGTGTTGCTGCAGAGAAGGTCTTCTTTAAAGAGCTGGATATTTTTCTATTTTGGGATATCGGTTGCCAAATACTCCTTGAAGTTTAGATTTCTATACAGCTTCTTTTCGGTGGTGAAGTGCATTCTTCCCTTCTTGGTTTTTAGTTTCATGGTCTTGTCGACAAAAGGTACAGGGTATCCATATTGAAGCAACATCTTTTAGAGGAATAGAAACTCCTCCTTTACAGATTTTTTTAATGCGATGGGTTAGTGGGATGATAAGAGCTCATTTTCGGTTCAAAAGTACCCAACTATAGAAGTTCGTTAGTTGACCGTTCCACTTGGGTTTTCTATGAATGGATCTATTCACAGTTCCATCATGTCTTCTTCTTCATGTTAATTTCACTTTCTAAAAAATGGAATTTTCGAATCATTTTCTAATTCCATTCTGAATTTAACTCTAAGATGATTCCTCCATAGTTTTATTGCACCATTTTTGCAATATTTACAGAAGTTATACTTGTGAGATCTTGTTTTCGATCCAACCTGATCATTTTAAACTCTGTATATTTTAAATTTCACTTAGTTTGAAATTTCTGTGGCGATTAAACCGATTGATTTTTTCAGAGTGATGGCCGTTAGCTTCATAATCATTGCCTCTTTTTTTGCCAGGCTTAGGAAACGGACTGACGAAACTAGCAGATTAGTAAACTGGACCGAAGTTGATTTGGATTAGATTCCGTGAGGAAGAGAGAGATGACAGCCTGTGGGTAATTGTGTGATCATTTGAAGTGGACTCTAGAGAATACACAACATATACAACTGGTGGATGGTGGCTAGCAGTGGAATCCAGGATGCACATTTCGTCCTATTTGGGACTCGTCAGCCACTGGATGTACCTGCATTTCTCAGTGAGTGACGAAATGCGCATCCTGGATTCCACTGCTAGCCACCATCCACCAGTTGTATACAAATCGAATCCCCAGACATCGTCGAAGCATCTGCACAAGAAGCCGACATGTCAACCTGAGACCGAGCACTTCGGTACAATCAATCGACGGGAAAATCAAAAATTCAATTCAATACACAACATAGCTGGGATGTGCTGCTGAAGGCCAATATTCCATTCAGAACTCAAAAGAATCATCGTAATAATAATCATTGTGTGATAATAGTTTCCATCAATTTGCACAGAAGTTATTCAAGGGTTAGTAAATTAAAGGTTTAACGAGGTCAAGACAGAGGTTTGAGTTCTGAGTGGAACATACGGCTGGCTTCAACTACACTACATCTTCACTGTGGCCTATTTTCTGCCATCGTCTTCAACTGGCCATAATATCTCCTCTCCTCCAGCTCATACTATCTTCTCCATTTCACCCTCACACCTCCGTGACACACTCATCGATCTTCTTTCACCTTCCACTGAAGCAATGGCCTGCAATGAGCATGATTTCATTTGATGGTCTTCTGAATGTATCCCCGATCCATCCGTTCCCATTTTTCTCCTATATATATCTTTTTGAGCGATCGGCTACTAGTTGATAGGTTCATTGCCTGTCACAATTCCTTGTTACCTATTCTTTCTGCCCAGCAATTTGATATTCAGTATGGAGCCAACGAAGGCAACTATTGATGAAAACCTGCTACGGGCTGTTGGAAACCCTTTTTTCCGTGACACGCTGGTCAAGTTTCTGATATTGGTGTTGCAAAATCCGAATCTTGTTGCGTTATGCTGAGAGTAGAATATCTCCAAACTGATTTCAGTTTGATGGAAGCCTATCTTGTCTTTCCAATTCTGGCTGCCTTTTACACCTTTATCCATTCTAACAACCTGTAGTTGAAATGGTGTTGTGGCCTAGATAATTAAAGGCAGAAAGTAACCTTTGTTAAATATCTCCCGTTGGTGCTGGTTTTTATTGTTGTTGTTGTTGTTGTTGCCATTGGTTGGTTATCGCCACCGTCTTCTGTATATATTCACCTGCACTCCTGTCTTCGCTGCCTATCTTTTCGAGCATTTCGTTGATTTTCGCCTGTAAGTTTTTGGAGTTGGTTTGACATCAGGCATATATTATTCATACACGAGATCTATATCTTGCAGAGTCTTCTCATCGATGGTCCAGAGTATTCCTGACTCCTTTTTCCCCACAGTCTGATGCATTTTATCCAGTTAGTCCACCATAATTATGACTGTCACCGATGATGGTCATAGGCAGCCAGCCAGTCAGCTTATCTTTCTCCTGTATTAACTGCTTCAAAGGTAGACCTGAGATTAAGTTTTTCATTATGGATCACCTGATTAAAATGGGATTGTCACACAGCCAATTGTTGAATGAGGTAGACAAAGACTTGGACATTAAACACCGTAGTGTTGATGTAGAGTGTAAATTACTTCTCAGTCAACGCTTTCTACAAAGGCCTTTTCAAAGTCGATAATATTGTTGAGGTAGAGAGAGACAGAGAGAGAGCCATTTGACCACTATTCTATGCCATCGTTTATTTCATCAACTTCTTATCAGCTACACGTACAATCTCAAAGAAAAAAAATTAGATGAAACGTTTGTGTGTAGAGCAGTTTTAACCTACTTGCTAAAATAATGACATGATGGCATTTAACAGGTAACTCTAAAAATTAGACTTTCATTAGTGAACTCTAACAACTGTTGTATGTTTTAGTCTGTCATGTTTTCATTCCTTTTACGTTTAAGCTAGAACTTTTTTGAAGTTTCAGTAGCAGAGCTGTTTTTATTTATTTTACGAGATGCGGTTACTGCTAGACTCATGCCCACCCACCCCTAACTTTTCTTCTTAACCAATCTTTTTACCGACTTAGCAAGGTGGTGAAGAGTGCGTCGGTGGCTCACTGGCTGGCTGGCTGGCCGGTGATCGAATCCTAGACCAAATGGAGCGTGGTCAACAGCGAGCATTCTACCATTTTGTCTTTCTAAATATTATTCCAGAATTAATTATATAACTTGAAGTTTAAGCGCGCTTTTTTTTTAAAAAAACCAACAACACACTTAAGTCGACAAACTTTCTTCTATTCTAGGTTGGCTACTTGCATTCTGTTATCCATGTTATATGTGTTTTATGTACCGTCGATATGATGAATGTTTTGCGACGCCATGTGTAATTATCTTTCCTGGTTTAACATTACGAGCATATCATCGAGCCAAGCATCATATACAGGTTAGTTGATACACAAAATCTGAGAAAAATTCATTAACTAATTAATTTAGTAGTTGAATAACATTCATATTTATCTTTTATTGATTGACTGATTGATTGATTGATTGGGGGATTTCATCAGGAGCACTGACATCAATTAGGGAAGCATTGGAAAGCTAGCCACTGCCTGGAGCACTGCCTGACAGTTGTCTGGTCAGCCTAGTTTGGGACACCACTTCAGCGGTGCGTACTCATCAGACTGTGGCTTGAACCCAGGACCTTCTGAATACAAGGCAAGCGAGCTCACGGACAATAAGGCCACTGGGACCGGATTAAAAATGGCGGGCTCCTGAATTCCAACTTCTGCCAATTGACGACATAGAGTGACCAGTAACCAATGCCTTTGGAGAGTACTTGTCCTCACGTCAAATCTGCTGTGTCCTATTAGAACAAGATACATTGGCAAACTGTTATGTACTGGTCCAGTAATTAATAGTCCTGACGCAAGAAGGCGGAAATCAGAAAACCACCAGGTTCACGATGATACTTGTATTTTTCCAAACACAAGGAAAAATCAATGTCACACAAGAGTGTGAGTGAAATAGTATGAATGTCCGAACAAATGTGTGAACACAAGTGTATGAGCGAATGTTCAAAAATGAACGAATCAATAGACAGTCTTAACATGATTGGCTAATTATAATGGAATATTGATCCATATATACATAGCAAAATATAACAGACTGTCAAACAAACACACATATTGTATGGATACATATCACAAATAAAATCAATCCTTTCAGTTAGATTTTCTTCAGGCTATAATCTCTACTTACGTAATTTGCATGGTAAGAACAGACGACCACCTAGCTCCTCCTCTATTGCGAAACATATTACAAAAGAGACAGGATATAAAATTGACGTTTCCAAACGTCTCTTAAAAGCCTATATATATAAAACGTGTTTGACGGAGGGTGTATCCTCAAGTTTGTGGACCTAGCTAGGGAGTACTGGACAGCTGTTTCATCCTAGTTTGTTAATCAACGGCAGTACGCATCCACCTACAACAGTGGGGTTCGTACTCAGAACCTTCCGGTTACATGGCGAATTCGTATATTATCCAGCCACTCAGTTGGGCCCAATTTAACGGGCACTCCATAAATTCTAACTTCTAACGACTCGTAATGCATTTAATGCGACCAACAATTAATGTCATCTGCATGAAATCCATCTTCAAATCCCGACTGGATGGACTTTACTGTAGCTAGGAAGTCAGTCACTAGCGAACATTATGCAAGGAGTTTCCTGGAGTTCTAGTGAGAAATCGTGACCACTGGGCTGGGATGTGAGGATGGATTTCTCTGCCTGAGATGGCATTGTTTGTTAGTTTTAAGTGAATCAAGAAGAATTAATAAAGTCAATAACTAAAACATATTACCATGATAGGTTCAGAGTGACCAACATTTCTTTTTGTATACACACACACACACACACACAAAGACCTGGTTTATAAACTCTAACTGCACCAGCCTCCTCTGTAGTTGTAAACATCTTCCTAAAAACAGTGAATGATTTGACAGCGCGTCAGTGTTATATATTTCCATAGTTTACGTCCTCTACGCAATGAATTTTTCGATGACCAACTGCCTCACCTTCAACCTGCTGTATCCTATTGGTTACAACTTTCCACTAGAAAACCAGGTAACTACCTACCTGAATAAGGTCAGTCATCAGTGGGCATCAGATTAATTTTCAAGTATGTATGGATTTTGTGTGATTCCATTGGATGTGATTTCATCATGAACACTTGCATCGGTTAGAGAACCATTGGAAAACCAGCCACAGGGAGTATTGACAGACAGCCTTTTTTAGTCAGGTCTAGTTTCGTAGTGTTTAGGAGATTTAGAAGTGTAATGGTGAGTGCAACTCAATAAGTGAAAATCAGAATCAAAATTAAGTGGAATGGTATACAAAAGAACAAAATAAAAAAAAATAACATGAGCAAAAAACTCATGGTTACCAGCTAGGATAGTGAGAGTGAGAGGGATTAACTACACTATCTTTCAGTAGGCCTTGAGTTCAGTCGAAGTCTTTGGATGACAATGTCTTCTGTGAACCACAGTAACTTAAATGTTTTTGAGAAAATTTGTGACCAGTAGGGTACATTTTTGCCAGTTTACGCCGACTCTGGCGTAGATGAGATGTTCGACTATCGACCAAAGGGCGGGTGTACTGCACATCAGTCCGCTCCGTCCTCCTTTATGGCCGCCTGTGAGACCTGACCACTGAGAGTGGAAGACATGAAAAGGGTGACTAGTTGTCTTTGATCATAGGTGCGTGCGTTCTATCTCCCGTGTGAAGTGGCATAATAAGGTGAGCAATATTGAGATTAGGCATCCGTCGAGTTCTATGTAAACAGGGGAAACCAATCGATGAAGTGGTGAAGTTACAAAGACTGAGATGATTAGGACATGTGTTACGTATGCCAAGTCATCACCTCCTTCGACGAGCAATGTTAGTGGATATAGGGTCAGGCTGGAAAAAAGCTAGCGGCGGTCAAACAAAAACTTGGCCTCACCAGTCAATGAAATCTACAACAGTTGGTCTAAGCCACGTAGGAAGGTGTAGACTGGTTTCCTGGTTGGGGTCCTCGGGACGGTAAAAACAAATGGTTGGAAACAATTGGTGACATGGCTCAAAGCGATCGTTCTCAATGGCTGGCTGGATGGCGCAGATGCATCCACTCCTTGTGAATTATGATCTCCAATGAAACTGTTTTGTTCTTCGTTACTACTGTTCCTTTGTCTCACACCTCTGCTCACTGTCTCTATTATGCTTTTCTTGTACTTTCTTCTCTTGCTTTGCGTGCTACACGGAGTGTGGCGACTTGAACTTCCGCACATTTGTGCAAAGTTCTATGTCGAAAACAGACAGACAGACAGTAGGGTACAGCAGGTTGGGCGTGAGGATAAATACTAGCCGAAGACATTGGCTAGCGGTCCCGCTATGTCATGAATTGGCAGCGGTTTGAATTTTATGGACTGGCTGCCCATTGGATCGGGTCCCAATGATTGGCTTAATAATCTACAAGCTCGACTGCCTTGTAGTGGGAGAGTCCTAGGTTGAAACGCCGGTGGGAGCTTCTCGCAAACTGGGACAGAGGAGACAGCTGTCCAGTACTTCCTGTGGCTGGGTTTTCAATGGTTCTCTAACTGATGTCAGATTATGATGATATCCGGCAAACAAGCAATTCCCTAGAAATAAATACTTGAATTTTTATTTTTATATTGATTATATTCAAATCCTGCAGGCTGATTTCTACTGTATGTTCAGTGTCGATCAATTTGGTATTCGGTGATTTGAACTTGAGAACACTTTGCTGCCTTGTAAGCGGAAACTTTTAGAGATTTTAAGGAGAATTGACAAAACAAAAAAGGAGCTCATATTATCAGAATTGCAAATATCCTTGTTCTACCTTTAGCTTTCTTCTACAGAACCATTATAAGTTGTTAGAAGTCTTAAAAAGGGTCTATACTTTACGTTTATTTCAATAGTACAATGCAATAGTGGAAAAACTGTCCCTTCTCAAAGCTACGTCTGCTTATAACAAAAGAAGTTATACTGATCAGTTTCTTTTAAATATCTTGTGCAGGTACTCGTATTTTGTCCGTGTGGGTGTGAAGTTACACCGATTGAGAGAGATGCTTAAGGCAAATGCTACGCATGCCTACCTACCGGCCTAGCCATCGCCTTCCTTGATCGACAGGAAATTTTATCTTACATAGGGTCAGGCTGGAAAAACGTCAGTGGAATCCACCACAGTTAGTTTAAGCCACATAGGAAGGTGTAGGCTGGCTTTCTGGTTGAATTCCCTAGAATGGTATTAACCAATGAAGGCTGGAGATAATTGATGATAATGGCTGGTTCAAAATCCTTCGAACTGACGCAAATGCATCTACTTCTTGTGACTTATAATATCCGATAAAACTCTATTATTCTTCAATATTCCTACTCTTTTTCACTAATATCTCTCTCTCTCTGATGAATCTGTTTTTACTTTCTTCTCTTGCTTTATGTGCTGAGGGAAGTGTGACGTTTCGAACTGCTGTTGTATATCGGTGTAAAGTTCTACGACGAAACAAGTCAGTCGGTGCATCGACTCAGCCTTAACGATCCCGTTCTCTTAACATTTACCCACGATTGATTAATTCTTTGTGCTCAAAACAACACCTATTTTTCTCATACATATACCCTCAAACCAAGATCACTTTTAACAGTTTGAAAAAATTTGGGCATTGGGTGACATATGATATTCATTATAATAATAATTATTATTATTGTATCCTTTAGTTCCTAGAGGAACACAGGACTTCAGCTGCCCACCTCCATTCCCTTCTGTTTTCTGACAACTTTTTCAACCCCCTCTCTAAGTCTGTCCACATGCTTTCATCTCCTCCCATTCACATGACCTCCTCCAAGTCACCCACCCTTGCATTGACGACCAACTCGCCACTCGCTTCCCTTTCGGCCGGGTTCCACTCGAGCGATGGCTTGTCTAGTGATGCCAGTCACTTGATGGTTAGTTTCCTCAGAGTATGGCCAGCCAATCCAACTCCATTTCTTCCTGCCTATTTGTTTCACAATCGGTTCCTGTTGTGTTGGTTGGTTCGCTCATTGTCAGAGATCCCTCCCTGTTGCTGATATTTTCTGGCCAGCCAGCCGGCCGGCCGGCCATCTGATCTTGAGCGGTATTGAGCGAAGACAGCTAGCTGTTAATGAAGGTGTGAAGTTTGTTGGAGATGCTCTTGATGACGCGCTGGCCAAGTCTCTGATCCATCCGTATAGTGAGTAGCACTGACTGACTTTACATTGGAGTTGAAAATCCGGATCTTATTTTTGTTGGTGAGTGCTGTTGACCTCCACACAGATTTGAGAGTAATGAAAGCTTGTCTTGCTTTTTCGATTCTGGCTGCTTTGATATCCTCTTCAGTTCCGTTGGCCTGTAGTTGAAACGATGCTTCCCAGGTCGGTGGGTAGGTGAAGGGGGTTGTTTCTTTCAGGTTCCTCCCATTTATTCTGGCTGATTGTTGTCTGTTGGTGTTGTTGCTGTTGGTGTTGGCCAGGAGTCTTCATCACCTCTGTTTTATCTATGTTCACTTGAAAAACAAAACGATATTTTACTCAATAGACACGACATCAAAGTTTTCTTCAAAACATCAAACACACACACATAGACAGCACAAAGCAACCTTGTTCATACAAAAGACCAAATCCCTACCTACGTATTGGCTAACTTATTGTCTCCATAAAATTAAATGCTTCGAATATGATACAACATACATTGGACAAACATCACCAACAGAGATAAATCAAGGTAATCAGAAGAAATGAATAGCGTAGAGCATCTGTGTTCGACCACTGAGAAGTAAATCCAGCTGAACTAGAAAAGCGCTTGAAAAATCATCAGGCATAGGTCTTCCTACACGCTACTCTATAGAATCAGTCAGGTCACAAAAATGATTTTTACAATGTTGAAACATAAACACTTTCAGAAATCTTAAAGAACATCTCAGAGATAATCAGAAGCACTCCACATAAAATGGAACCCAAATTGTCTGATAAATACCAATGACGGACTAAAATAGAATTTGACCTGGTTACAACACGAAACACCCCCGGGTTTCTCTCATGAAATGACAAAATCAACACGGATGTGATAAGCAATTTCACCATGTATGCACATACCGCTTTTGGCTACTTGTATCCACTTATCTAATCCAACAGTAATCTACACACACACCTGGTTTTTTATTATCTTTACCAGTTGGCCAACCTGACAACAACGTAAACAGAATTACCCCCACATGCTGATGCGTGGAGATTAAGTTGTTATTGTGTATAAGCTGAAATTCTGGTTTAATAATACTTTTTGATAAAGCTGCTAGCAGCATTAAGCAGCGAAACGTTAGTAAAAAACAACAATATCATTTTGTTTTTCATTCACATTGCGGAATACAAAAAAAAAAACTTTATTATAATGAATCTTTTTTCTTTCAGTGGTTGGAGGATCTTATCATGAACACTTGAATCAGTCAGAGAATCATTGGGAAACCAGCCACAGGTGTAACAACAAAAGACAAGGGCCAGGCAATAGATCATTTTATTACGGAAATCAACACGTATTTATATATAAATTTCACATACATTATTATAGTCTAGTCAAGTAGACAAACGCAGTCGTCTGATTGGTTGTTTTCGAGTTCCTCGGACGGAAAGTGGAGCCATCTATCTATCTGGGAATCATATTTGCCTACGTTTAAGTTTTCTGTGATTGGTTGTTGTTGAAACAGCCTTGTTCATATTTTCTCACAGCCCATATTAGTGACCAAGACATTGGCGTAGATTAATGTCAACCAATTGCAGGCTAGCAGGCTGCTCTCACCACACAGGGAGTCCTGACAGACAGCTGTTTTGTTCTGGTTCAGGACTGTGTTTAGCAGTACACACCCACCGGGGTTTCGAGGCCAGGACCTTCTAGTTATAAAGCGAGCTTGTACTGCTGAAGAGCCAGTCTCAAGCACTACGATGAAGGAAATAGCTGTCTGGCAGTAATCCCTGAAGGTTTTCCAATGGTCATCTAACTGATGTCATCTCATGCTGAAATCCTGCAACCAGTCAAACACAATTCCCTACGAAATCAATACTTGAAAACCATTTTTTCTCTCTTTATTTTTGACAAAATTTGACTGAATTACTTGTTTTCGGTTTCTTGCGACTTGAAAAAAGCATGAAACTTCAGCCTGTAAGAGAAATATAAGAAAAAAATGTAGAAAAACAAACTTATTCTTCACTGATATTGGAGAGGCCAAATGATGCAGCGGGCTGGTTGGTGAAAGCCACCATTTGGGCAACCAGCCAGCAGTCAGCCATCTGATATGCATTCTTTCGATGAAAGCAAGAATAATAAAGTGGACGTGGAATGTACGTAAAATGTATGAAGCCTGCTGAGTAGGCTGTCTAGGTAACCTGAAAACGAGAAGATATGGTATAGAAGTGCTCAGAGTCTACGAGAGCATACGAATGAAATGAATGTGGACTGTCGAAATTGTCAACTGATGAGTGAAAGACGACAACCATATGATGAGCACACTGAGGTAATGAGTGGCTATTTGTCATGATGCTACCAGTGGCAGCCAACACCCTAATGCAGTGGGAATCAATCTCCTCATACAGGATGATGACACCAAGACTCTACTGAAAAGAGAGGTAGGACAAAAGGAGGGTTACAATTATCCACTGCTAAACAACAATGTGGAACAAGATAAGAAGGAAGATTTTTAAGAAAAACTCTAACAGTAACGGAGAGCATCCGAAATGGTGGCATCACTATCCTTATTGGCTATATGAATATCAGCGCGAAATGGTGGCAGATAATACAGGAAGACGACTCGTGCAGAGTCAAGATACGCTTGTTTGGTGAAATAAAAGACAACGGAGAACTCTTCACAGAGTTTCTGCGCTTTCAGTGACTTGCTGGTCGGAGGCAGCGTGTACACGCACAAGGATATCCACAAAGCAGCAAGAACTTTGTCTGACGGATAGAATTCAGTCTGTACCAACATCAAGGAATAGTTAGGACACATGACAAATACTTACTGACTGAATGGTGTCTAATCAAAGTATTCAAATGCTGACTAGAAAAGTCTTCAGATAGGCGGCTAACTGTGAATACACTTCATCTGTGTTCGTTGTCTTGTTTTTCCCTTTCTCTTCAGGGTACCCTGTTCAGAGATTGGCTTAAGGATTGCTGTTGTCCATTATGCGCTGCATGCCAATTAGATCGTGATATGAAATATGTGGAGTCAACCACTGGAATACTGAATGTTTGAAAAGATGAAGACAAAAGTGAACAATATCCTACACATCTCGTTCGGTTCAGTCTACATTTTGTGTGTGTCTGTGTGTGTGAGTGCCTGTTGTTGCTGCTGCTTCCTGTACTTCGTCTCTTGACAATTCTCCTTTGCTTTTAGTATTTTCTTCTCATGAAATACACTTAAACTTGGATCATGTGTAACAATTGTACTTGAACTTAATTGGTTAACCATTTCTTTTTTTTTTACAAATTTAATATTTGCATCGATCTGTAATACTGGTCTCTTTTGATTTCTCTTTTTTTTTTAATTTATGTGAACGGGTTTATGCATTTGTACGATTTAATAAAATTAGTGAAAATGTGATCTTCTTTAATAAGAAGAAAATTCACCGAGTACTTGGAGTCTGGTTAGTGGGAGTACACTGGTAACCAACACAACACTCATCTCCAATCCCATTATGAGTGATGTGATCCACTTGCAAAGTGACAAACACTAAATCAGTTATTATCATTATTTCCTTTAGTTCCTAGAGGAACATAGGACTTCAGCTGCCCACCTCCATTGCCTTCGGTTTTCTGCCACCTTTTTCAACCACCTCTCCAAGTCTGTCCACATGCTTTCATCTCCTCCCGTCCACATGACGACCTCCTCCAAGTCACCCACCCTTGTACTGACGACCAACTCGCCACCCGCTTCCCTTTCGGCCAGGTTCCACTCAAGCGATGGCTTGTCTAGTGATGCCAGTCACTTGATGGTTAGTTTTCTCAGAGTATGGCCAATCCAATCCAAGCCAACTCCATTTCTTCCTGCCTGTTTGTTTCACAATCGGTTCCTGTTGTGTTGGTTGGTTCGCTCATTGTCAGAGATCCCTCCCTGTTGCTGATATTTTCTGGCCAGCCGGCCATCTGATCTTGAGCGGTATTGAGCGAAGACAGCTAGCTGTTAATGAAGGTGTGAAGTTTGTTGGAGGTGCTCTTCATGACTCGCCAAGTCTCTGATTCCTACAGTAGCACTGACTGACTTTACATCGGAGTTGAAATCCGGATCTTATTTTTGATGGTGAGTGATGTTGACCTCCACACAGATTTGAGAGTAATGAAAGCTTGTCTTGCTTTTCCGATCCTTGCTGCTTTGATATCCTCGTCAGTTCCGTTGGCCTGTAGTTGAAACGATGCTTCCCAGGTAGGTAGGTAGGTAGGTAGGTGAAGGAGGTTGTTTCTTTCAGGTTCCTCCCATTTATTCTGATTGTTGTCTCAATCAGTTACCTACCTATAATTGTGTTATCGTCAAATCTCTTCAGATATAATCTAGGCTTTTAACAATCAACTGGGAAATTACTGATCAGGCATACAATAGAGATCCATGTGCATTATTCACTGAATCGTGCAGTCAGACAAATGTAGCATAAATGTAGTTTGGACCTGTGTATCAAGTCTCTTGATTAGCAGTGATTTCAATAGGGTAACTATGACAAACCTCTCACTCATAGGCTGTGACAAATTCCAACATCGTCGAATAAGTCAAATGAATTCAAGTATGGTGAAAGAAGAATTTGTGTATAAACAGAAGGCAAAGGCCAGTCAACAGATCGTTTTATTACGGAAATCAACACGTATTTATATAAATTTCACATACATTATTATAGTCTAGTCAAGTAGACAAACGCAGTCTTCTGATTGATTGTTTTCGAGTTCCTCGGACGGAAAGTGGAGCCATCTATCTATCTGGGAATCATATTTGCCCACGTTTAAGTTTTCTGTGATTGGTTGTTGAAACAGCCTTGTTCATATTTTCTCACAGCCCATATTAGTGACCAAGACATTGGCGTAGATTAATGTCAACCAATTGCAGGCTAGCAGGCTGCTCTCACCACACTCGTGCCCCGTCAAAGACTTGCGACTGAAGTTGGCTTGATCTTCCTGGTGTGGGCGTCATCGTTGGCTTAACTCGCTGTATCCATTTCTGGAGCTCGCTGACATTCACGCGCCTCTCATTGTTCGCCATTGCGACTGTGTCTGCGTAACCCCATCTCGGCGTGACCATATATGGTCCCCCCCCCACTTTGGAAACTGTTTGCCTGACCCTGTCGAACATTCGTCGGTATTTTGGGCTTACACCTTCCTTTGCTGCTTTCTCCCGACCTCCCAGCAGCGTCCCAAGTAGCAGCTCTATCGCTGACAGATCTTGGACGCCACTACTCAACTGCGCAGAAGCCTTGAAGTCCTGCCGGAAGATCCATATGTCCCCATCAAAAATTGCAGGGCAAAGGCTCTCCATTTGTCAGTAGGCAGCGACACTAAATGTAACAACAGAAGACAAGGGCCAGGCAACAGATCGTTTTATTACGGAAATCAACATGTATTTATATATAAATTTCACATACATTATTATAGCCTAGTCAAGTAGACAAACGCAGTCTTCTGATTGATTGTTTTCGAGTTCCTCGGACGGAAAGTGGAGCCATCTATCTGGGAATGATATTTGCCCGCGTTTAAGTTTTCTGTGATTGGTTGTTGAAACAGCCTTGTTCATATTTTCTCACGGCCCATATTAGTGACCACATTTACATGGAATGTGGTGATCGACAATTTTTCAACGGGAAGATATGACCAGCACTTGTCTAATTCATTTCTCAGCAATGAGTTCATTCAGGGAGTTTAATTGGCGACCGACTGACTGATTTACCTCTATCCTGTTTTGATTTAACGCCACTCGTGGACAATTCACACAGAGAAAAGCGTTGACGTTATTTGATATAAATCACCGAAAATACCTATTGAGTTATGAAGAAAATAAAAGACAAATTCAGCGAAAAAAATTTTTCTTTATCGACGAAATCATCATCTTCACAGGCTGGTTGTACAGTCGAATTTATATTTACCAACCAAAAATCTATAGTAGTCTATTAGTGAATAATAAGGGCTGGCATAATTGGTATATAATTACTTAGAAGTGGCTTTTTAAAAGTAAAGAATAAAAGTTGTAAATTACGCAATAGTCAATGGCACAAACTTAGAAATTTGATAAGGTTAAATTTTTCATTGAGTCGTGAGAAGAAAGGTGGTAGTTGAATATCAATTTAACAAGTGTGAAAATGTACAAAATGAACATTTGAGAGTAAGGGAATCAGTCATTAAAGTAAGAGAAAACTAAAAGTAAAATTTAAAAAAGAACTGAAATTTTTTTATAGGGAACGATTGATGAAGAGGTTAAGACCAAGGTAGAATAAGAAACTGGACAAACATTTTCTGCATTTAAAGATTGACGAATCTGCATATATTGACGAATCAACAGCACCTTCACCATACACAAAATCCGAAACCTGACTCTCTTTGTGCCATTTGGTGGAGCTAGGTGGCTTGAGTTCACCAAGTGCTGAAAGATTGAGCTAGTAATTGTCTTGCAATTGTCCTTTTACTAACCTAACCAGGCCGGATAATGTTCAGAGATGTGTTTGGAAATTGTGCAGTTCATATAACTAGCCCCACAAGAGCAGGTGAATTTATAAACACACATTGAAGTGACCCTTCCAAAGTGGCAGTTCATCCTTAACACATTCATTGATCATTTGTTGGTTGTAGAAATCGATCCGTTGCTTAGCCATAAAGAAGGCTTTCCTCAGTGGTCTGCACAAGCTATTCTTCACGATCTCATTGGCGATATCACCTTTAAATTCAACGCCTATAAATAGCAGTTTCTTCGGCACCATTTGAGTTCTTTAAGGTTTTTCCCTTTAACTTCATGTTTCTCTCGATAAACATTGGAGGATATCCATTCTCAATGAGGACTTGTCTGAGTTCCTGCAGTTCCGTGTCGATTGTATCAGTGGAACAAATCCTCTTTATTCTTGAGGGTAAGGAGTGTGTCAAGTTTATCTTTCTTCTCAAAGAGGACTAACTATGCGAATTCGTGTATTGACCATTCTAAGTTGGTTTCCTTTAGGTTGATCTTCAAAGAGATCTCTTTTTTAGAAAAATGTCACAACAGAGGAATTCCGCGTTCACCTCTGATTCCAAAGTGAATTGAATTACATGATGACAGCTGAATTGTTGAACTGCTCAGTTATCATTTCCAAGTTGGTATTCTCGGCGCATTTGATGGAAGTATCATCCATGTATCTATGGTACAAATGGAAACAGTCGAGAGTAGGTCGTAACCTACTGTTCTGCAAACTTGCCGAGAAGCAGTCTGCAAGTAAAGGACTTAGTGGTGATATCATCGCCACTCCATCTGTTTGTCTATAAAGCATGTGTTGTTAAACTTGAGTTGGACAATAAAAGTGAAACTCAATAGTAGTTCCTTTAAGTATTGGATCGGAACACCCACGTCTACATTATTATCCTCAATTAATTTGCATATATAAAGCAAATAGTTTCAGTGAGAGGAACATTGGTGAAAAGGGACATAACATCCATAGATATCATTTTCTTCCCGGATACATTAGCATCATATGAATCAGGAACACTATGCTTGCAGAAAGTATTTCCGACAGGTAGGAGGATATATGCGAGCCATTTGGCAGTAGCATGACATGGGCAATTCGTTATATCCGAGATTGGACGTAGTGGTACGTTCTATTAGTGCACTTTCGGCAGACCATCCATATAAACGGGGAATCATGGAACTAATAATAAAGCCAATTCAACTGCTACTGTGTGAGCCACACATTTATGGTGAATTATAGTTGTGTTCTCTGAAGCTGGTTGATGATTGAATTGTGAAGGTTTCATCATTCCCAAATCTAGACAACATCTTGACTTTATTTCAGGTTTTAGTATATAAAAAAAAAGAACTTATCTGAATTTTTCCCTCATGAATGGTGTTGTAATTGTATGTCTTGGCAACCATTGTTCTGATTGGTAGGTTGATCATTTTTGTTTGATATAAGAATAAAAATTGTGCACTGTGGTAGAGTATAATTCCATTATGTGTAAATTTTTGTTTTGATAAAGTGTTATACAGTAATGTTTACTGATGACCACGTTTCGAGCACAATTTATTGCCACTCATAATCA